AGGCAGATGTGATGAAGGAGACGGGAGTTCAGGGATCTGTTTGAGACCTATAAGATCTGGAGCGTCAGCACAGATGGTAAAGCCCTGAGATTGAATGACTTTCCCACAGGAGTGAGTGTAGACAGGAAGGCCTGGGAATTGAGCCTGGGAGCACTGGGGCTTTAGAGGTCAGGGAGAGGAGAAGAATCCAGCAAAGGGGAGTGCGAAGGTCTGGCCAGCGGGGTAAGGTGAAAACCAGAGCAGTGTGGTTTCCTGTTTCTAATAGAAAAAACTCAACCAAATATTCAGATTCTCCTTTACATATTAACTTTATACTAGCTAATTTGTTGTTTAATTAGTCCCATATTAATTGGTAAAGCCGTAAAGACTTTGATTGCTTAACTCTTCTATTTTTTCCCCTCCACTGATAAATCAAATGCATATCATTTTATGTGAAAACTGAAATAGAAAAGTGCAGTCTAATTTTAGTATGAACTATGCATTGAAATAGCCGTGTCCTCCTTGGGTAACAGTATTCAAAATTTTAAGATAAAATTGTATTGCTTCATTAAATTTCGACTGGTTAACATCAAATCAGTGTTAAAACTATACTGTAATAGCCCTGGGTAGATCCATTAATGGTGCCCCCCACAGTGTCCACATTCCAATCCCCAGACCTATAAATATGTCACCTCACATTGGAAAGGAGACTTTACAGATGTGATTAAGGATTTGGGGATGAAGCAGTTATCCAGGATTACCTGGGTAGATGGGCCTAATGTAGTCACAAGGGGCCTCCGAAGTAAAAGAGAGAAGCAGGGTGGTCAGAACTAGAGAGAGGTTTGAAGATGTTACACCACTAGCTTTGAAGGTGGAGGAAGGGGCCACAAGCCAGTGAATACATGTGGTCCCTAGAAGCTGGAAAGGCCAGGGAGTGGATTCTCCTCTAGAGTCTCCAGAAGAAATGTGGCCCTTCCGACACCTTCATTTAGTCCACAGAACTATGATAGATTTGTGTTAGGTTAAGCCACTGATAAGTGTAATTGTAATTGTAATTTGTTACATCTGCTATAGTGAAACTAATACTGAAGTTTAGAAAAGATGGGTAACTTATTATGTGTTGAAGTTTAAAAAAGATAAGTAACTTGTTGAAGATCACATAATTAGAAAAGAAAGCAGTAGAGCTTGGTGTTGAACTCAACCAGTGCGACTCCAGAGCTTGTAGGACACAATAACCACCTCCAGGCCAGCTGAATCGGACCACAGCCTGGTAGAATTCTAGTACATCTCATTAAGAAGTGGGATTGCAGGAAGGGAGTTGGTTAGTCATGAAAGTGATGCAATTTTCATTGATGTTTATCCAAGTACCACCTAGAGTACCCTTAGTACTCCACTGTCCTAGAGTATAACCCTGTTGTAAAGAGTGATACACAAGACAAACTTACCCTGATGTTGTTAAATATATGTTAGATGTCCAATTGCTTTGATTTCTTTGCTCACTAAATATTGGATTACAGCTTCGTTTCCTGTGTGGCGTGCCTGCATGGAAAGAACACATTGAGCAAATGATTCCATCATCTGAGTCACTTTGGTTTATATCAGTTTCCAACATGACTTGTTTGTGGGGCTTGTGGGAGGGGCACATACATTGGCCCCAGGATTCTAACATCTCCTGGTCTCTGCTGTTATAATTTTCACTTAACATTGTCGAATCGGCATTTTGGCTTTAGTCCAGTGGTTCAGTCCTTTAAAAGTGACTCCAGAGATGGCTCTGTTCATTAATAGATTGTTTTGTTGACCCTGTGAGAATTAGTCACTGGATCTTGGAAATTCAGCAGGTGACTGCAATTCTAGAAGGCCTCTTGTGAGATATAAGGTGTTTTCCTTAAGTGACATGACCCTGCGCTGCAAAGCTGAGAAGTAAAATGAAGGAGCATTTTGTAAGTTTGAATCTCTATAATCGAAAACCAGAAAAATGACATATTTGTTTTTAGAACTAAAAATTTCAGTAACTGAGTAGGTTGGAAAGATAGGCCAAAAACAAGATAAAATATAGCATAACAGAAGGTAGAGTTTTGTACTTTATCACTTAAAAACCGCCAAAGTAGGCCGGGCGCTGTGGCTCACGCCTGTAATCCCAACACTTTGGGAGGCCGGGTTGGGCGGATCATGAGGTCAGGAGTTCAAGACCAGCCTGACCAACATGGTGAAATCCCGTCTTTACTAAAAATACAAAAATTAGCCAGGTGTGGTGGTGTGCGCCTGTAATCCCAGCTACTCAGGAGACTGAGGCAGGAGAATCGCTTGAACCTGGGAGGCGGAGGTTGCAGTGAGCTGAGATCATGCCACTGCACTTCAGCCTGGGCGACAGAGCGAGACTCTGTCTCAAAACAAACAAACAAAAAAACCACATCAAAAAAACACCAAAGTATAGGTTGTAGAAGAGCAGACCTACTTGGTATTTGCGAGAAAGACAAAGAGATTTAGAGTTTCCATCAAGTTGTGAGTTACTAGGAGGTAGTGCCAGAGAAGCAACATGGCATTAGGCTGCATAGGTAGAAGTATAGTACTCAGAACACGGGAGAGCATCCGTTTTGTTGTACTTCGTACTAAACTTTCTAAGAGGGTCCTGGACATTTTATGAGAGCCTTTGGTAAACTGAAGAGTGATGTAGGTACAGATGCATAGATGTAGAACAGTAGACAGAAATGGAAATACTTAACCCAGAGAGGAATTTAGGATTGGGGAAGGGAACACAGTTTTTTTAGTTTTTTGCAGGTATGGAATTTGTACTGCACTTAAGGAACAGGGAGAAGTCCTCTCCGTCCTTCCTGCTGTTCTTTATTAGGTATTTCAGTTAGAGTGCGTAGGTCTCAGGAAGCCATGAGGATCTTCCCTGGGTGGTGACAGGCTTCAGATCATCTCCGTTATGGCCCTGCAACAAAACTTCACAGTTCTGTATGTTTCCTGCCTAGTAAGCTCCCACTGTTCGGTGGTAATTAATCTCATACTCAACCATGGAGTTATGTTTATAGATCTTGGTGTGTTGTCCTCCCTCCCCTTTACCTAAAAACAGTAACCTGGGCGCGCCTGAAGGTGTCTTTGGGCCTTGATGTGTCCTGTAAATCGTGCGGGGTGCTAGGGTCTCTGTACCTAAGGAGATGGTCGGCGTTTGCCTGGCCCCTCTTGCAACAAGAGCTGCAGCGGTTGCCTCGCCTCCGGTCCTCAGCTTGGTCCTTAGCAGAGTGAGCGGGCCAGAGTCATGGACACGTGACTTGTGCACTCCCTCATGGCCCCACGCTTGCTTTCACGTTTTCCTACTGGCATCAATACTTTTTTTAAAAAGTGCCCTGCATTTTCATCATGCCCTGGAAATGATGGAGCCATCTTTTACTCACTGCCCACTTCTCATCCCTGTCTGCTCTTGCTTCCTCTTGTGGGCTTCCTGTGCCTGCCCCGCAACCTTCTCCTACCCCCCTGCAGTGTTTTAAACTCTCTTTTCTTCTTTTTCGTTTCTGTTCACCTCAACCAACCCTAAAGTACTCTTGTACTCACAGTTTGGCTTTTATAGTTGCTTGATCAGTTTACCAATCAATTTCAGTATTTTGTTGAGCTTTGACAAAGATTTTTATTCTAATTCTATGGCGCCTATATAATAATTGTTTTTTCAGCTTCTGCCTGTGACTTCTCTACTTCAAAAAATGTATGTGCTTATTTCTGCCAGTTACATCCCATGTTTCACTGGATGTGTGTACTGTGTTCACATCAGGTTGGCCCCACAGCTGAGTGAGTTATTGATGATCTCAAGAGTCCATTAGAGATGAAGGGTAGAAACTTAGCCACATCCTCGTTTGTGTTTTGCCAAACGGAGGGATTTCAGTTTCCTCTTTGGTAAGATGAATATGCTTGATAATAGAATAACATTAAGGTTGGCTTTTTTCTCCCTCGAATGATTAAACTGTAGTTTCATATGTAAATGCCAGGAAATTAGAATCATTCTAGCAGGGAAGATAAAGTAAATAAGTAAAAATATAGTATGTTTGTAGGAAATCTTGCTAGGGAGAGAGCTCAAGCAGGACAGGAGGGGGCTAGAGATTGCTAGGGATGGGATGAAGAGACAGGACTGTTTTAGAGAGGCTGCTCAGGGCGGTCCCTCTGAGCAGGTGGCACTGGAGCCGATCCTCTGCTGAGATGAGGTGGCAAGCCGCGAACATCACGAGGGAGGGAAGGGCAGTCCCAGAAGAGAGAGCACAGTGCAGATGCCAGGTGGGGACCACGGGACACTGGAACTGCCTAGGTGTGTTTATTTCCAAATAGTGTCTGGCATTACACTGAGATAAGGAGAGTTTTTTGTTTTTCGGTTTTCATTTTTTTTCCCGGGTTGGTGGTGCATATTGGATTTCTTCAGGAGATTCAACCTCTTGAAAAATATGAAATACAGACATGTATATATGCATAAAGATATATTTGAGTATTTCAAACTTTATATAATCAAGTATCTTAAACTCTGCACACTTGAATTTTTAATCCCCGTGTATATCCATTACGATTATTTCTATTAGTTCCAGTTTGAGGTTGGTGATGATATTGTCATAGAAGCTTTGTCAGGCTTCACATTGTAGCAGATGGTCTCGAAGGTGGGGCATATCCCTGTGCAATGTGACTACTTTAGTTGACTGTCCAATATGAAGTAGAAAAGCAGATTTCTGGATTACAGTATTTGTCAACAAAGAATTCGCTGATTTAAAAAAAAAAAAAACCTTTAGTTTATATTTATAATGACAAGGTTCGTAATCAGATTGTTGTTGGTAACTTAAAGCAAGTTGTCAAGAGAAATACTGTAAATAGTTTTATTTGTGTGTAAGGCATGGGCTTTTTTTTTTTTCCCCTAGGCAGAGTCGCTCTGTCACCCAGGCTGGAGTGCAGTGGTGCAATCTCGGCTCACAGCGACCTCCACCTCCTAGGTTCAAGCCGTTTTTCTGCCTCAGCTTCCCTAGTAGCTGGGATTGCAGGCGTGAGCCACCACACCTGGCTAATTTTTGTATTTTTAGTAGAGACGAGTTTTCACCATGTTGGCCGGGCTGGTCTGGAACTCCTGACCTCAGGTGATCCACCTGCCTGAGCCTCCCAAAGTGCTGGGATTACAGGTGTGAGCCACCATGCCTGGCAGAGGCATGGGCTTTTTAATCACTTAAATTTTAACTTACTGTGTTAGTGAGCTTGTTTATTCCATTGCTAGATAATGAATTGTGTGTTACTTTTTCCTGCCTAGTTTTCCCTTGGAAAACAGAATCAACCATACCAAGTATTAGTGAGGGTCCAAGTCAGATTAAATAGTATGAGTCAATCTGCACTCAAAATAAATATGAACCAAAATGAGATGCTAACAGATTGACAGTGATTACCAATGGTAAACAGACCAGTAGGAGAGGTTTAAGCTGTCACTAACTTTTTGAAGAACAATGACATTATTTACCAATTATAGTGGTCTGGTATCTAAAGAATTGGCCTGATATCTAAAGAATATCTTATTTTCTAAGAGTGCCAATGGAAAAATGTTGAAATCTTATACCTGCCCCTGCTTACGCATCCATTGGCTAGTCGTCAGAAACGAAACTGTAATTGTGAGACTCCTGTCATTTTGGGCAGGTGGAGGGGGCCTGTGAGGGCCAAAATCTAGTCATGCTGGCATGATTATGCCTCCTGTCGTCTGGATGAATGGTTCAGCTATATAACTAAAGAATTCTATCTCTGGTTAGTGTTGATTTGGGGCAAGTGTGAGCTCTGTAAAGTAAAATGGACAAATAGTTTCGTAGGATACCGGACTGCCTGACCGGTTTCATGTCTTCTGTCTGTAATAGTGGTTGTCCCATAAAAAGGCAAGACCATATTTTCAAAGGAGCTGGGTTTGGAGTCTTAAGATCACTGAAAGAGTCTGTGGCAACAGCAGTGCGCCTGGATTGGCCTTGTCTCTGGGATAGAAGAGATGAAAAAACAATTGATTATCACTCACTTTGTGGCACACTCTGCGCTATTGAATATTGAATATCCCATTAAGTCCTTAAGAGCAAACACAAGACCTTGAGGCCTGCCCCTCATTTATAGGAGTCAGGAGTGAACATGCACTTTGCATGCAAGTATACTTTGCAAGACAGTGTGCAGATAGGCGAGGCTTGGAGAGGTAAGCAGTGGCCGTGTGAGAGAAGCACAAAGCTCACGCCTACTGGCAGTCACCACCCAGTGGGCTATCCCAGCACCTCTGCTTCACAAATGAATTCCAGCATTCCCAAAGTGACTCCTGATAGACCTGACTCATGGCTCTCAATCTCTTTCCATTTTGAGAAATTCAATCCGTAGAATTTTGAAATGCTGAAATAGCAGAGCATCCTTGAAAAACATTTTTGTTATCAAAGGAGTAATTGTTCATGTTAGAAAAATTCTGTAGACAGGTAAAGTGACAAGCGAAAAGCTCTTTCTCCCATTCTCCTGTGCCTAGCAGGCTCTTGGGTAACCCTCCTGTGTTCCTTCACTCCTCCCTCTTACTCTTGTCTCTTAAACTCGTTTTAAGAAATAGTACTTTTGAAATGAATGGCATTGTAGATCTGTTCAGCAGAATCATTTATGCACTTAAGAATATATCTAGGACACTTTTCCCTGGCTACATGAAAGGTAATGTTTTTTTTAAACCAGCTTCCTTGACAGACATTGGACTTGTTTTGCAGATTTTTTCTTTCATTTTTTATATATTAATAGTACTGCTGTATTGTAGTTATAAACAACCTCCTCGTACAAATATTTTTGCTTACATGTGAGAAGAAATAAGAATCTGGTCCCAGAAGTTAAATTTCTGGGTCAAAAGCATGCATATTTTAACATTTTGGTAAATAACGTCATTGTTCTTCAAAAAGCTAGTGCTGGTGTATACCTCTCCTAATGGTCTGTTTGGGTGCCTGGTCCCCCACACTCTTGGTAATCCCTGTCACTCTGTTAGCATCTCATTTGGATTTATATTGCTTTTGAGTAGGTTTGAAGGTGTTTTTCTGTATGTATTGGTCTTGTTTTCCTTGATGAATTGTCTGTAATTGTTGCACAAGTTTTCATGGGGTTTTCTTTTTCTTGGGAATTTATAAGAACTTTATCCGTATTAATACTACAGTTTTTTTTCAGTTTATGTTGCTTGTTTATAAATGGGTTTTTTTGGCCACTTTTTAATCAGTTGTGTTCTTTTTTGGCCCCTAGGGTTTATGTCATAATTAAAGTTCTTCATGTGCCTTAAAATGTATTTTTTAAATTTTCAGCCATATTTTCTTTGAACATTTTTATGGTTTCACATTTTCAGTTTAAATGTGATATTTCTGGAATTTATTTTGACTTAAGGAATGAAGATAGAGATGCAGCCTTAAGGTTCCCAAATGGCCAGCCGCTGTCTCCATGCTGTCATTCAGACATTCTGTTTTCTTCCTGTGGAATCCTTCAATTTGGGATTTTCTGACTGATAAATGTATTGCGTTTAGAGTGCAAGCTGCATATATGAAGTTGCGGGATTCCCACAGAAATAAAGAACACTGTTGGGTTTTGCTGGGTTAGGAGATGAGGCGTATGTGTCAGACAGGAAATCTTAGAATCTGTCAAGTGCTGGGAGCAGAAAGAAAACTTCTAAGAGGGACTACAGTGTTCAGGTTGCAGGTTCACCTCTAGTGTGTCATGGGGCTTAATCCTTTCTGCAAAAAAGATTCAGTTTAAACTAAGGAGACAGCTTTTCATGAAAATATCTTTGACGTTGAATGTTCTTAAATAAATAGCGTTTGTTTTTGTAGAAGTTTGACTCTGTAATTAGTCTAAATTCGTAACTAACTCACTAGAATTCATCAATCCTCTTAAATGGGAGACAGTGTAATATTACTGAAGTGGTGGATGGAGTTTTATGAGTAGTAAAACTTAAGACTGAGTATATAGTTAGTAAGCTGAAACATACCTCTGAGGATTCAGTCTTCTTATTTTATCATCAAAGGCCTGAAGTGGAAGTAGTGAAAGTTGTGGAATTAGAACAGTGTTGCAGTTGTTGTCGACTGTAACCTGTATTACAGAACATCAAGTGGTTGAAGCCAAAAGGGGGAAATGGCAGCTTTGACTGTGGCATGGATGAGGTTGTGAGATGTAAGGGGGACATCTGAGTTCGGGAGGCGAATGAAGACTCAGGTGCTTTTAGTTCTTGCCAAGGAATGATAGCAAATAGGCCGGGTATGGTGGCTCATGCCTGTAATCCCAGCACTTTGGGAGACTGAGGCAGGAGGATCACCTGAGGTCAGGAGTTCGAGACCAGCCTGGCCAACATGGAGAAACCCCGTCTCTACTAAAAATACAAAAATTAACCAGATGTGGTGATGGGCCCCTGTAATCCCAGCTACTCGGGAGGCTGAGGCAGGAAAATCGCTTGAACCCAGGAGGCGGAGGTTGCAGTGAGCCGAGATTACATCAGTGCGCTTCAGCCTGGGTAACAGAATGAGACTCTGTCTCAAAAAAAAAAAAAAAAAAAAAAGGCAAAGAAAAAAATCAAGTAAGAGTCGAGCTGTGGGTAGCCGACAGGGTCTCTGTGTTGACACAGGACAAATTTGGGATACATAGAGGAGCACGTTTAAGACTTAGAGTAGAAAAAGGGTATCTGTGAACTAGTTATGTTTTCTCTGAAGCTTCCTATGAACTGAAAAGAACAGGGCCGTCTGACATACACGGGAAAGGAGGAAGGGTTTCGCTGCTTGCATGTAAGACCAGCATATGGTTTTCCATGTTTAAAATTTGAATGCAGCAAAATCTAAAACTTAAGAATCATCTTACGAACATCTGTGGGAAATGTACTTTCAAAGCTTATTGATTTGCTTAAAACCCAGATATGACTCCCCATAGTTCTTGTCTTCTTTATTCTAAGTATTTAAGCGTAAATTGCAGTATATTACTTTAAAGTATTTTCTGAGGCCTATGAACTTCAGAGTCAAAACATTTAACTTGGTAATATTTGTCAAGATATTAAATTTAGTTGAACTCCATGAAAAATTATGGAACATAAGCCAACTCAAAAGTGTATTTATTCTTCTGGTTTTAACCCATTTATGCTGGAGGTTGCAATTTTTTTTGGGAAAAATCAGGCCTTGGTGATGACCGTAAGCAGTAGGATACAAATAAATTCCACAAGCTTGGCGTTGCAGTAATGGAACACTAGGCATCAATGGGTTAAGATGAATGTGGAGCTTAATTTGAATCAGGTGCATATATTTTGATTTTTTTGATAATGTATCATATTCCCACAAAATTAAAAAACGTCATTGGTATATGTAGAACCAGCAGAGAAATGCAAAACATTGAACAATAATGTTAGTGTAGACTATATGTGATAATTTATGAATAATATTTAATGGGAATAGATGAATGGTGTAAAACATTCTGTAACATATTTGTCTTCTTTGTAGTATAGCTAGGGCCAATTCTTTAAGTATAACTTTAGCAGCAGAATTTCTGAATTGTAAATTATGGCTTCAGTGGAATGAAGTACTCTTAAAATAAGTGGTTTTTGAAGGTACTTGGCAGATTTAACCTTTCAAAATAGCCTGAGGCATTATATTTGGTACCAAAACTACCAGCATTCTCCAAATGAGAGAGAATTAATTTCCAGGATTAAAGTAGGATTTTGAAAACATAAGCTTCACAGTGAAGAGACAGACACATGATGAGTTGAGGTCGTTGACAGTGACAGCAGAGAGATTCAGAGTTCTCAGTGGATTTGGTTTCAAATTCTGCAGCCTCATTCTGTTGTCACTTAATACATACTGCCCTCCTACCTCTTGTGGAATCTCCTTAGCATCATAGCACAGACTTGAGACCCCAAATTAGGAAATAGATGGCTGAGGACTCCAGACTCGCTGATGGGTTTAGAACTTGTTCTGTCATACCAAGCACTTCATTCCAGTGCTTAGAAACATTTGCTATTTGCTGAATGAGTGAGTGCCTTATTTTGGTTGGAGAAACAGGTTTATTTTCATGTTCTACGAGAACTGCTATTGGAACCAAGAGTTGTGAATACACAAAAATATATTTCTGAGGGCCAGGCTATTGTTACGGTTTAGCATTACACTGCCTTTTCTTGACCTGGCAC